AAACAGTCAACTCCTGCAGAAACTACTCTACGAGAAATATACAGGTAAAACCGCTTAGACTACCTTAACATTCCTTCATAGCGTGTTGGCCGGATGTGTTGTGCTCAGTGAGATAATTTTTCATCGGGCGCGGCACACTGAGACAATAAAAGCTTCTTCTAAGATGTGATATGTTTTCATCTTCTAACGAAAATAGGCAATAAATCTTTTATGTTATAACTTAGGCAGCACGTATGTTATTTTATGACTGATGTATAGTCTATTTTCTGGGTAGGATATGACTTTGAAGGCCGTGCGGTTCCATTCAATAGCCCTGTTGATCAACTGCTACCCATATCGGAGACTCTTGTTCAAAATGTCGAGGAAACTCTACGGAGCATCGTTCAAATGACCATCGAGCGCAGCCTGTCCAAGTTCCCCACCCTCAAACAAGCGATCGAAGCGAAAGTTGTGAACAAAATATTTGACACCAAACGCGACCAGACCACTCAGTTCATCCGACAGTTTCTTGAAATGCAGAAGAAAAGCATTGACGTGGTGTTTGCACCAGTCCCCACACCACAGGAAATGAGTCTCTGGGAATCCTGCCTAACAAGAGATAACAAGTTTCATCCGAGCATGACGTCAAAGATGATGAGTCACATGAAGGACCTCGGGAAAAAACTCTACCCTGACCAACTGGTCAGCGAGATGAATGAGGCTCGTAGCAAGACTCATTCGTTTGCCAATCACAANGCCCTGTTGATCAACTGCTGCCCATATCGGAGACTCTTGTTCAAAAGGTCGAGGAAACTCTACGGAGCATAGTTCAACAGACCATCGAACGCAGCCTGTCCAAGTTCCCCACCCTCAAACAAGCGATCGAGGCGAAAGTTGTGAACAAAATATTTGACACCAAACGCGACCAGACCATTCAGTTCATCCGACAGTTTCTTGAAATGCAGAAGAAAAGCATTGACGTGGTGTTTGCACCAGTCCCCACGCCTCACGAAATGAGCCTCTGGGAATCCTGCCTAACAAGAGACAACAAGTTTCATCCGAGCATGATGTCAAAGATGATGAGTCACATGAAGGACCTCGGGAAGAAACTCTACCCTGACCAACTGGTCAGCGAGATGAATGAGGCTCGTAGCAAGACTGATTCGTTTGCCAATCACAAGGTAAGAATGCAGCACGAGATCATATGGAGTGTTATAACATGACGTCACGGCGGTTCACACTTTTTGGGAACTTTGCAACTGCGCTGGACCATATATTTACAGGGGGATTTCCAGAGTTACTTGCCGCTGTTTGGGATAAGGTTTTCAAGTTTGGAAAGATTCTGCTTTCGTCTGAAAAAGCGATACAATTTGCCGTGTTCAGCCAGCTTCAACAAAGACATAAACCTCGTAAAAAAAAACAAGGGCTGCTATATAGTAGTGCGCGTGTATATGGCACCAGTTTCTCAGTCAATTGCAGTCAGAATGTGCCACGAATCAGTGAATCAAATCACTTTCGTTTGAAAGGCCGTTCTTACGAAATGTTTACCTTCTTATCATTTAGGACATTGAGGAAATGAGGAATCTGAAAAAGAACGTAGTG